CTGGGGTCAAGGTGATGAATCCTTGACGAATCGAACAATCGTGTTCGATAACGATCACTCGTCGTCGCCGACAAGTGATCCATGACAGATTTAGGAGGCATCCATGCCTTCTTTTCTGGAGCGAGACGCAACACATTGCGGTCCCGCTCTTCCTGCGACGTGCCGACAGAAGTACTGGCACCTCGCTGTGAAGTGGTGTCCATTGGAGAAACGACACCACTATTAGCGCCCGAGTCTCGCGACCTCGAGCGCCTTCGCTTCGGCGATGGTTCATCTGACTCATCAGATGAACCAAAGATGCTGCGACGCAAAGCATCGTCCATGCCACGCTTGGCAGGCGGCTTGGATTCAATTGCCGTCGATACGGATCCGTCATCCGTATCAGGAGAGTACGAGACACCGAGCTCGTACTCTGTGAAGACACGAGTGTCTTCATGACCAGCGCCTGCATCACCAGGTGATACAGGCTGAGTCGATTCAGCAACCGATGGGACATCAGTTGCTGTAGTTTCTGCTTCGGCGTCCGCACAGAGACGTGCAGACGCGCTCTCGGCGGCCTTGCTCGCGCATCGCATGGGCTTGTTTACCATGCGATGAGATGTTGGAAAGTGGACGCGGACCAACAAGTGCAAACCCCGTCCCAAATGATTTGGGACGAGTATCCATTTAGTCAATCAGTCACTAAAGTGACTGATGGTTAAGGGGGGTGATGTAACGGGGTGAATCGTTACATAACAATTTATAAGAAATTGTTAATAGAATATAACTATAAGAGTTATATTCTCAGAATATTGTCATAAGGACAATATTCTGTAGCACTTCCAAGTAGTTCCTAATTGGTTGATATAGGCCATTATATCAACCAACGAAGACGCGCCACGACAGACGCACGCAATGAGTGGTGAGCAGATAACTGATTTACACATTTGTATTTAGACATAGTTAGATGAAGATAAATAGTGATTTATTGCAGACATTAACTATTATAAATACAGTTCTACTTTTTACTCTAACCGAGTACTCGCTTCTTCTTACCGTCTTCCTCTGCACGTACGAGTGTACGTGAAGTTACGAGGCACCGCCTTATTCTGTTATCAGAATAAGTAGCTTGTACTGTCACCAGTACAAGCTTCAGGGTGCCCCGTTACACAGCGGATAGTCTGCTCTTGACGCTATCCGATGGCGAATTTCGAATTCACAAGTTTAGAGATGCGTGACCGCTAAGAGAACGAACCTTTTTTAGCGAACGTTTTCCAATGAGGCGTAAAGCTTCCGAATCACCAGCTTAAAAGGATGCGCCGAACGACTACGCGATGCAGAATTGTCGCTGATCTACGAGATTCATGTAGTTAAACGCTTGATTTTGGACGCGGATACTGTGGGACAGTGGGTCAGCACGGCTGCAGATGCCGTCATTTACAAAATAACACTGCTCGAACCTCAAATAATGGACTCAGGACCTCACACCTTAGAATTCTTCTGGAAGCCTTTTTCGAAGCGGCAGTTGAGAGTGACAGCCCACGATTGGACATAGCTAATGTTTCTCCACTACCCGCGATTTATCAGGTCGACTGCCTTGCACAGCGTGCCTTAGAGCAAAGCGCTATCGCTAAGAGTACACAGTGAGGGCACCCCTGTCATAGCCGAAAAATTTACATGCGATGTAACGGGGTAGCCCGTTACATGAAATTGACACTAAACGGTGTCAATAGGAATATTGTCTAGCATGTCAATTTCCTACCAATATCATCGAGATGGATAATATTGAAGGAATATTATCCTCTTGTAGGGTAATAAGCATGGGCTGCTCCAAGATTGATTGATATAAGACACATCAACCATAGATTGCCATCAATCGCTGCTAGACGTGCGCAATGAGTGGTGAGCAGGTTGTCGTCCTACGACGGCGTAGTTTAACATAGTTAGATAAAGATTAAAGTTACATTGATATCTCAAATATATTAGATACAGTTCTCTTTTTACCTTTACTTGACCGACTCGTTTAAGTAGGTTAGCTTCCTCTGCACGTACGAGTGTACGTGTAGCTTCGCGGCACCCCAAACAAAAGGTGCCCCGTTACACCTGGTAGCACTTCGTAGTCCGTCCAACGACTACTTAGTGTCCGTCCAACATGAACATGTTGGAAGTAGAAGACGACAGCTTTCACGTCGCACGTGAAGGCTACTCCCATCTGAGTGACTCAGAATGGTAGGTAGTCGGCCGCATGAGTGTGCTCATGGGCAAACCCGCCATCAGCGGTATGTTGGAGTCTCTAAGCAGAGACCAGCAACATGCTGCTATCACAAGTTCCTACAAGGGGAACTTGCCGTCGAAAGACAAAAGATAGCCTTGCTACAGCAGCAAGGCTCTCATCTGTCTTTCGAAGGGTGGGCCGACGCACATGCGTCGATCCGAAACCTTGAACATTGATATCTCAAGGTACAATGGAACCGATGAAGATTGCCTTTTTAGATGGTTAGTCGAGTTAGATGACGCTATCAGGGCCCGTCACATCGAGGATGACGAGATGCAAGTCATCTTCGCCCTGTCAAATTTGACAGGACGAGCAAATACTTGGGCTTTTGGGCTCAAGCTTCACGACACAAACGTGTTTGAGTCGTTAGCGATCTTGAAGTCTCGGCTTAAAGAGACGTTCGAGCCGCCGAGAGCCGAGTTCAAAGCACACTCTGCATTCTTGAGGCTAAAGCAAGGTAAGCGTGACGTGCACGCTTACGCACAGAGCCTGCGCTAACTTGCGAGTAGCGTTACGGAAAACCCTATTGATGAGCACACGCTCATCAACATGTTCATCTACGGCCTTGTGGATGGGACGGTGGATACCTACATGTTCCGAGAGGACTTCCGTACGCTGGAAAAGGCGATATCGTATGCGGAACAAGTAGACTTCAGCCTGAGACAGTCTCAGGCTAACTCGTCAAACTATCGTCCGACGAGACGACAGGAACAGAAGGTCCCGAATCTATGGACCTCTGTTACATCGAGAGCGAGAACTCTCGCTCTTTGAGTCACAAGCGAACGGCAAGATGACATCGCTGTCAGAATATTGGACACTACGCTCATGAGTGTAGTGTCCTAAGCACCGCATCACGTCCAAAGACAGGACGTGATGACCGCCGTTGGCCAAGGAAAGGTCCGAGGCGTGTGTCCGACCATGTCGCTAAGCCGCGACAGCAAGTCGGACCGTTAAAAATAGGTCAGGGTCAGTCGGGGCGGAGCACCCTGCAGATCCAACAACGTCAAGAGAACTTGCAGGACTCTTGACGAAGATTGATCCTAGCACAGAGTCGCTGTGTGTTACTGCCCCTAGTGATGAGGTGTAACTCATCACTTTGAAGATCGAAATGACGATTAGGATGTCACTTATCGCCCTAGTTGAATGTGGGGCGTCGAACAGTTTTATTAGACGCCAGTCGCTAGAGGATAGTAGACTCAACTATGTTGAGCGAGAGTTCCCTCCAACGGGGATGACGGTGTGACTTGCTACAGGCGCATCCGTAACAGTGAACAAACGTGTAGTGGGAATCTACTGCACGCTAGAAGGGAAGCATTACGATGTTGACTTCATCGTACTAGATTTAAATGACAAATCTGATGTCATCCTTGGTATGCCATGGCTTAGAAAATACCAGCCAAGGGGCAGCCGGCAGCATCTATCCGTGCAGATGCCTGCCGTTTGTTCATCGTATGGCCTTCTGATAAACGTCTTGGAGCGTCCACAAGCGTGTGGATGTACTATGAGTGAGTGCGATGGACTCACTTGTGGTAAGGTAGTTAGCACGATTGCACAAGATCACAGTGTAGAAGGCCACTGCACTGTGGAACCAGCTTCCGGCACCTGTGTAGAGACAAAGGCTGCGCCGAAGGTTCACTACTTCAAGAGATCGATTGGACTGGAACACGGATGCACACCAAGAAGTCTGCATACGAAAATAGAGATTAGTATTGTTCAGGATGAGCAACACGTTGAAGCGAGATCGAATGACAGAGAGTTGATCGTAGAGAAACCCCGATCGACTGAAAGAGAGTCGATCGAAGAGGACGTGACCGTGACAGAACACGTAACGGAAGATAAATCCAGCATTCCTGAGAGTGTTAACTCCCGAGAGAGTTATGTTGAGGGTGTGGATCCCCAACCACCTGCGGATGTGCTTTCCCAGGAAATCATCGAGTCAGTGAAATGTCTTGGTGAATGACGGATCAAGTGTAGGCGCTTACACACTTGATCTGGTGACGCCCCCGAAGTCAGCTTTGGAGGTAGTCAAGTTGCCAACGCTCGAATCTAAAAGATTTTTGTGAGATCTGCGTAGTGACAAGATCAAGCAGGTCTGCGTACTCGTCAAAGAGGACGAGTACGTCGCCGATATTCGGTTGGCACAAGTGTTTGCTGAGAACGAACGGGATCTCAGTAGCTCACCGATGGACGAGAGTGTCCTCGATGAGAAGATCCGGATTGCCCGATACACGTCTCAGTCTTGGGAGTCTTCAAAGACAAATCCTTATCGTGGCGTGCGAGTTGCCTGACGACAATGGCACTCGACATGAGATCGAACTCAAAACCCGGTTCGAAATACTGTGTCATGAAGCAGTGACCACTGCCTCGTGAACAGGTCACAGAGATCGACAAGTTCTTTGCCGATCGTTTAGCCGCTGCTCATGTGAGAGAATTTTAACATCCCCACACAGCTCTCCGACCTTCTGTGTGCGAAAGGCCACAGGAGGGTGGCGGATAGTGCACGCGTTTAGCAAATTGAATGCTGCAACGGTACCGGCTCAAACGCCGATACCGAGGAATGACGTCATCATAGATGGTATGGCAAAAGGTACCATCTTTCCTCCATGAATCTGATGGATGGATTCTATCAGATCATCATGCGTGTAAGGGACATATCGTACACAGCACTGAGAACCATCAGTGGTATGCTGTGGGGGTGACTAGTGATACCACAGGGGCTAAGTAACTCCCCTGCAGCGTTCAGCAGATGTGTTACGAATCTGTTGCGATCGGTGCGCGAATCGCACCGAGTTACTTTGACGATGTCTTCGACCATAGCGGGGCTATGGATGGAAAGACGGACGTGGAGGTTCATAGAATCCACGTCCGGAAGGTTCTTACTATATTGCGAGAGCATACGTTGTTCGCGAACCTCAAGAAGTGTATATTCGCAGCTAACGAGATACCACTTCTTGGCTGCATCACAGGTAAAAACGGTGTACGCCCTGATCCGAAAATATTCAAGGCGATTGGAGACTGGCCTGTGCCAGTCGAAGTCAAGGGACTTCGAAAGTTCCTTGGCTTGGCGGCGTACTTGCACAAATACTCGCGCAACTATGCCGAGATGACTGTACATCTTTCTCGTCTGCTAAAGAAAGGCAAGAGGTGGTCATGGATGCTGAGTGCAGCACTCTTTTAAGGGCATCAATAAAAGCTTGGTGCAATCGCCTGTGTTGGCGATTGCAGACCAAGACAGCCCATTCCATGTGGTCTGTGACGTCAGCGATTTTGCAATCGGCTGCGCATTTATGCAATAGGAATCAGACGGTGTTGAGAGCGTGGTCCGCTATCAATCGCTTCAGCTGCAAGCAGCTGAGCGTAATTATCTGGTGCATGACAAGGAACTCCTTGCAATGAAATATGCGCTGGCCATGTTTCGGGTATATCTATTAGGAGATAGGCCCTTCATCGTTTATACCGACCATGCGTCGTTACGCACGGCCGTAAACAGTCCACACCTCTCGCATCGAATGGCGAGGTGGATGTCTTTCTTCGCGGAGTACAACTTCTCCGTTGAGTATAAACCAGGACAACTTGATGTCGTCGCTGATGCTCTTTCGCGCCGGCCCGATTTCTAGCCGACTGCGCAACCCAACAGTAGGGGCGATCCCACTGTAGGGACACTAATAGTGAGCGTTCCGTCGTCTATTGTGCTCGACGACGTGCGAAAAGCAAACGCATAACATGAGTCTCTTCTGCGATTGATGGATTACGTATCCAATCTGTGTAATCTAGCTTTGAAAATCCTGTCGTCTCATTACTGCTCTTCAACCGAACATTATTCGACTCGTTATGGACTGCTGTACTATACAGCATTCAACGGCGACACACCTCGTGCCGTCGTTCCGGCTCATAATGATTTGCGATGGTGCATCATGTATGAGTGTCACGATGCCCCAACAAGTGGGCATCGCGGTAGAGAAAAGACTTACCTCACGGTGAGTCGTAGCTTCTACTGGACCCACCAGTATGAGTTTGTGCGCAAATACATTCGCGCTTGCAAAGTTTGTCAACGTGTGAATCCTAGTCCTTAACATCCCGCGCACCCTTGCATACCGATTCCGGCAGAGTGTTGGCAGTCCGTATCGATGGACGTCTTTGGGTTTCCGGAAGACGTTCACAAGAATACTGGTATTCTTGTGTTTGTTTATCGGTTCAGCAAGATGAAACATCTTGTTGCTGTACCGGAGTCAATCACAGCCCAAGGCTGTGCGCGTGTCTTCAACGGTACTATCTTTCGATTTCACGGGGTAATCCGTGAACTCGTGTCTGATAAGGACCCCCGCTTTACAGCGAATTTTTGGTAATCCGTGTTCCGTTCACTTAAAACACGTTGAACGATGTCAACTTCTGACCATACCGAAACAGATGGTCAAACGGAACGCGTCAATCGCGTTCTCGAAGAGATGCTTCGAGGGTATGTCCACTCGTTTACGAGCTGGGTGAGTTCTTGCCTACGCGAAATTTGCCATCAACAACTCGGTGCACGCGTCGACAACGCATACACCGTTCTTCGTGAATGGCCTAAGCCATCCACGTTTACCCGCCTTCTTAGAGTGTTACTCTAGTTTAGGGGGGAGGGAACTCGCTCGAACAAAAACGGATCTGGTTCTTGCTCATCACCCGTCGACAATGATGTCGACGTGATGGATGCCGATGACGATGCGATCGATATCGATGATGATGATGACGACGATGCTGGCATATTCAGCATCGCTAATGGCTGCCAAAGCGAGGAAGATGACACCCTCACTGGCGAAGACAACGTTCTTTCAGCGGTGCACACGAAGCGCACTGCTGTTGACAAAGATGAATCAGCAGAGGAATTTCTGCTGACTCGCAACGCGGTTGCTCGCTTCGTTCAAATCCTACTGATGATGCAATAGACAAGCAGAAAAGAAACGCAGACGAACATAAAATAGCAAATATTTTTTCATTTGATGAAGGAGACCTAGTTTTACTGTCGACAGTAAACTTACCGAAACACGCAGCGACAAACGTGGGCAGCAGTAAATTACTGCCCAGGTACATTGGTACATTTCGTGTGTTGCGCCGAATGGGCAACGCATACACGACTGAACTGCCTTGTAAGATGCGCACGCATCCTACGTTTTACGTCGGTCCTATCCGCCCGTACTATTAGTACTAGCCCGTTTCGAGATGCGAAGAACACCTCCGCCGTCAAGGGCCGAGACTACCTCCGAGTGGTCCCGTTTCAACGAACCAGTCTGGTCGACTAGCGAAGCGACCTGTTCACGCAGTGGAGTGATCTATCGACGAGCTACAGACAGCTCATCACGAAGAGAACGAGTCGAACGTTCGTTCACAAGTTGCGCGAACGAAAAAGCGGCACGATCGTCCGAACGAACGTGCGTTAGAAATTGTAATTATGCCTTAAAAGATCCTCAAGCTCATAACGCCGAGTCCGTTCGTGAGCCAGTTCATCTTGCAACTGTTCCGTTACACGGTTCAGCTCTTGAACATCACGCTGATCCGACCCTCGAGCCGGATCAGGTGTTTCGGCCGCCACCACATCCTTTGGTGTACTCAAGCGGTGTTCAACGCTTCCTAGTGGAGCGTATTTTGAACCGTTATGACGATAAGAAAGTCCGGACGAGTTACCTCGTCCGCTGGCGTGGCTATCCACCGTCCTGGGACAGCTGGAAGCCTCGTGCCCATCTGATTGTTGATTTCCTTGGTCTCGTCGAGCAGTATGACGAGACCCACCCGCTGCATTTGAAGAAGGGCCGTCGAAAATGATCTCCCCGAAAGAGAGTACAGGGATTGCAATGTGTCAATCCCTTCGACCATCTCGGAAGAGATGCGCGCCCTCCAGTAGAGATCATTAGGGAGGTAACCTACCTAGGGGCACGGTTCGAGTTGTCCAGGAAACCTGGACACAAACTACCCCACGAGAGACAGGGTAATCCAGCCTTCCTTGAAAGCCGGTGCAACTTGCATCGCGCCCCGACTGGGTTGCGTTACTCAAACCCGCTGCAGACGCAACGGATATACCCGTCGCACGTGGTGACTCACCACATGGAGGATTCACAACAACAGGCCACGAATCACCTGCTGCTGAGGTGTGAGAGGCACTTTGTTCGGCTGCACGCATGCGTGCAGCCGCCCTTCTTGCTGCTGCAGTAGCAGCTCACGTGGTTTTCGAAACCATGCGTTGGATTGGCAAATGAATGGAATTTGACCAACAAGTGCTCCCTTTTCCAGAGTGATCTAGCGGTGTTCACCCTGTCCCGATCAACTCTAATTCAATCAACGGGTGATTGATGGTTAGGGGGGGGGTGATGTAACGGGGTAGCCCGTTACATGAAATTGACACCAAACGGTGTCAATAGGAATATTGTCCAGCATGACAATTTCCTTCCAATATCATCCGAGATGGATAATATTGAAGGAATATTATCCCCTTTAGATAATATGCATGGGCTGCTCCAAGATTGATTGATATAAGACACATCAACCATAGATTGCCATCAATCGCTGCTAGACGCGCGCAATGAGTGGTGAGCAGGTTGTCGTCCTACGACGGCGTAGTTTAACATAGTTAGATAAAGATTAAAGTTACACTGATAGCTCAAATATATTAGATACAGTTCTCTTTTTACCTTTACTTGACCGAGGCGTTTAAGTAGGTTAGCTTCCTCTGCACGTACGAGTGTACGTGAAGTTTCGTGGCACCTAGACAAAGAGTGCCCCGTTACACTGTAAAGCTCCAGAGGAAGTGTAATGCAACGTAGATTTACGTCGAGCTGCAAGAACAAAGCTCGTTGTGCCCACGATGTTAGATAAAGCTCAAAAATGACCCGGGTCAAAAAATAAATTTGTCGTCAGCTAAAGGACCGTGCATATCACAGTACCAAGTTATGTTCCGACGGATCTACTTTGCTAAGGTCAAAAATATCTGAACGAAGACGCCCTTGACGACCAATTGCACGGTGCTAGCACACATTGTATTCCAATCAGCACACCGTCGTCTCGATTCACTACCATGGCAGAGAATGAAGCTTTCGTTGTGACTACATGCCAACGATTGTCATTGGCAGCATCACGATCACGGATGAGAGTGGTATATTAGTGCAAGTGAGTCACCAGGATGTGGTTGAAAATCAAAAGTAATACGACAAGCCACAACCGTGGTGCCTCATTACGAGTAAACAGCAGAGCTGACCGTCCTTTCACATTGTAAAGTGTCGATACAAGAGTTCATCGAAGTCCAACCGCTCAGTTGCGTCCTACAAGAATGCTTCCGGGGTTTGATCAAATGTAACAATAGGCTTCTGACAGCTGCGGCTACTTGCTAAAATATGGAGCAATATCACCGATTCCAGCTGTAAAACGACAATTATCTCCGTCTAACAACAAAATCACACAATTCTAAAGTCAAAAACTCTTTTTTCGGATGGCCAAGACTCTCGTCGACATGCGGCAGCTCGGCGCCGCCTTTGGCGTTGGCGTAGCAGCTGCCATTGCAGCGCAATACATGTACCAAGTCGTGCTCAAGCGTCGTCGCCACACCGTCCATTGCACGTCAATGCCGGTCGCAACGGCGCTCTTTGGAACAGACGTCGCTGCGCAGGAGCTGCTGGCGGAACAGATGTCCCGCGTCGCCTCATTCTTTGGCTCTGAAGGCTTTGACAATATCAAAAATGCGTTCGTAGTGGTCGTGGGTCTAGGCGGAGTGGGTTCTCATGCTGCGCATATGCTGGCGCGCTCGGGTATTGGCAAGCTGCGACTCGTCGACTTTGATAACGTGACGCTCTCGTCGCTGAATCGCCATGCAGTGGCTACACGAGCGGACGTGGGGCTATCCAAAGTGACGGTGATGAAGCGCCACCTTCTTGAGATCGTGCCGGACTGTGACGTCGAAGAGATGGCGATCATGTTTGAGGCCGAGTCAGCCGAGGAGTTACTGGAAGGTGGCAGAGTGAAGATGTTGCAACGGGTTTCCAGTGTCATAACGACGTGAGAAGACTGATTGGTTTATGCTGAGCAGGCAACATCACGTACGTGTTGGACTGCATTGATGACGTCAAGACAAAGTGTGCGCTGCTGGAGGCGGTAACGCGAAAGAAGCTGAAGGTTATTACAGCAACTGGAGCAGGAGCCAAGGCCGACCCAACGCGTCTGCAAATTGGAGCGCTCAAGGACGCTATCCGTATGTTGGTGAGAGGTTGTGTGGCGTCGGTTGGAAGTGGTTTTGACTCACGCTGTTGTTTTGTTCTTTGTTATCTGGATCGCGTCGTAGGCGACCCACTCGCTACAAAGATCCGGTACTTTCTGAAGAAGAAAGGCGTCTCGTCGTCGGAGATCACGACCATCTTCTCGAGTGAGAAGAGTTTGTGTAAACTGCTGCCTCTGAACGCAGAGCAGGCACAGAACCCTGAGGAGTTTGGTAATGTGGAGAACTTTCGCATCCGTGTTATCCCCGTACTGGGAACAATGCCTGCGCTTTTCGGGCAGTCAATGGCAGCCTATGTGCTTTGCGACCTGGCTGGGAAGAAGATCAGCCCCGAAGCGACGGCACGGCTGTCTCGTGATCAGCGAAACAAACTGTACCAGAAACTACAGCAGCGCGAGCACGTCCTGTTCCACGAGGGCCACAAGATGGAGCTGCAGAAGGACGACATTGAGTTTATCTACCAGGAAATTTGGCGCGGATGCAGCTCCGTCGGCCAAGCGAGGAACGGAGGTCACGATCGACTGTACTTGTCTCGTTGGCGAGCAGATCGACCGTTGCACCCGGACAACGTGGTGTACCTGACGACGAAGGAACTTGCTGTTTTAGACAAGGACGGCGTTCAGGGCTTTGACCCTGAAGTTGTTGCCCGCGTTGATGCACGGCTAAGCCAATTTGGTAGTTGGTCTGTCCCGCAGTAGAAAGTAGTCGAAGGTTTTTACCATTAGAAGAGCAGTAGAAGTCCACGATGATAGTGCGTCACGGATGTGCAGGTCGTAATCCTCGCTAGAGCTGATTGAAAAGACGGTCGAAATCGGCCATTTTTCACCGTTCAGTGGGAATAGAACACTCGGATTTTGTATGTAACCAGCCGTTTTTGTCTGCCAGTTACTAAAGATCATCCATCAGATCGAATTCATAGGATGGCTCAGCGACTCACCCGCGAGTGTTTCAAGCAGTGGATCCAGGGGCTCGATGCATTCCTTTTTGACTGCGATGGAGGTAATGTGCAGGGAAAAATGTACCTGCCAGTGAACAGACTCATATGGCATGTGACTTCAGGTTCATTAACTATTTGTTATACATGACAGTTTTGTGGCGTGGAAGTGCTCCTATTGAGGGTGCGGCGAACATGATCCAACTTTTGCGGCAGCTCCAGAAGCGCATTATGTTTGTAGTAAGTTCCAGAAAAAAGCTCAAACAAAGAGGATCAAAATGAGGTTTGGTGGTGGTGGTGGTGATCGATGGCTCTATGTTGATGACGGTGTTTACGCTGTGTAGACCAACAATGCCACGAATAGCCGAGCTACTTACGTGAAAAAACTCGGTACATGCTACTGTATCAATGCAGTCACGCAACCAATACCGCTTCTTACGGGGATGTATGTCTGCTACAGCGTCACAGGGCATCCCCGCTGTGGAGACCGATATTGTCACGTTAAGTGTGCAGCTTAGGACTGCTTCAGAGCTTTTTCTTCGCAAAGAATCTAACATGAAGTGCTCGTATACTCGCTTAGCTCTGCATGGGCTACGGTGCAATACCTGAAGCAGCACAAGGTTGAAGGCAAAGTGTACATGGTGGGTGAGGCAGGTCTCCAGACGGAGCTAGAGATGGGAGGGTACCAAGTCAGTGGCATGGAGCACAGCGATATCAAGGGACTTCCGCACGTGCCAGACATTGACATAGAGACAAAAGCTGTTGTCTGTGGACTAGACCGGTACGGAAGTAGCAGACAAAGGATCGTGTCTTTGCAGAGAGAATGGAGCTGACTAATGTTGGCGGCGTCATGCGTTTGTCTGCATAGGTACCTTTCATACTACAAGATGGCGCACGCTACGGCGTGCGTGCGTCAGATTCCGGGTTGCCACTTTATTGCCACCAACCCGTGCGTTCGCGTCTTGATGTACTGCTTGTTGGACGTCTGTCTCAGTGCTGTGTGCTTTACGTTTGAGCAGAGACTCGACGTACCCGATAGACGGCGCCATCGTCCCGGGCGGTGGCTCTCTGGTCCACATGCTTGAGTGCGCTATTGGCCAGTACGTTCACTCTCCATCTCGTAGTAGTGCTCAGATGCTAATCTTTGCATTGTTTCCCGTGCATTACAGTCCTCCTGAAGCAGTGTGTGGCAAACCGTCGCAGGACTTGCTCCAGACCATTATCACCACTTATAAGCTAGTCCCTTCGCGCACGTGCATGGTAGGTACTTCGTGCTCCGCCGTATCTGATGTGGTGAGTGATCTGACTTGCCTGCGTTTTCCTGTCTCGTGCTCGTGGGATGTCATGTAGGTGGGTGATCGTCTTTCGACGGACATTGAGTTCGGTAACGCTGGTGGTCTGCAAACATTACTGGTGCTGACTGGCATCACGACCGAGTCCGAACTAGGCAGCATTTCGAATGCTGTTCACGTGCCTGACCACTACGTCGACTCCGTTGACGCGATCAACCAGTTTCATGCTGAAACAAGTATGTAGCAGCGCCAGCTTACATGATGCGTTCCTGCGATGCAGCTGCTTGGCGTTCATCATGTAAACCAAACAGGCAGCTCGCTCCGTTCAGTGGGTGCATTAAGAACGCCGTGAGTGCTTCCAAGCCCACGCAGAATAAACACGCCTTTGAAAAGCATGAGCGATATCTTATATTATTGACATTGACTAGTACAGGGTGAAGGCTTACATCGAAGGCGAGACGTCACCCCGAAATTTCGATTTCAGCCGTGGAATCGATCCATTACTGCCGCTGTTCACGAACGCGTCGAACATTGAGAAACCACCAACGCCCGCAGCAACACTTGCACCACTTGTAAATCTGTTTGGGGCACCAAACTGGTTCGCATCGGTAGCTCTCTTTGGCCTAACGGGAGCTGAGTTCATGCGGCGTGTTCCTTCATTCCTTGTTGGGATATTACGAGCGCTTGCAGCACGAGGGCCTGGTGACACAGCCTTCGGCTTCATGAGAACTGATGGACCCACAGGTGACATGAGGGGAGTAGGAGTCCGCAGAAGTCGTGGCATCGGCGACTTAGCCAATCGTTTCGTAATCTCGAGAAACTGCAGCTGCTGCCTAGGTGTCACATCGCCTGGCTTCACTTCTCGCGGTCGTTTCCGCGTCGGTACACGAACACTTTCAGGCGAGTCGTTGTCACTCATCAGGCCACTACTGTTCAAGCTGATGTTCAAATCTCCCTCATCAATTATTTGGTCCGACAGAGGTATGTCCGTGCCTGCTGTACCACTTGACAACGCCTCACGCTTTTCCGCTCGCTTCGCGGCAAGCGACTTTGCTGCTCCTTGTTTTTGTGTCTTCTTTGTGTTTTTGCCCAGCACTTTTGGTGTGTTTATGTCTTGCCTCTTGTTCATTTGAGCGAGAAGCTCAGCATTTGCCAGCCGATCCTTGATCGACATCATCTCCGTTTTGTCAGTACCTTTCCTCTTTTGTGGTAGACCGGACGAACTTCCCTCGACCTCAGCTGACCGTTGCGCATTCTTCGACTTCAAACTAGTCGCAGAATCTTTCACGACCTTGCCGTTTCCAATCGTCTTTTTACGCATGACATTAGACTCGGCATTAATCTCGCTATTCGTTGCACCCTTCGTAGGCTTAGTTGCGATAGTTGTCTTTGTCACGGCTGCCATCATCGAATTCCCACCCGATGCAGTACCGTTTACAGCTTGACGATCTTTTGCAACATCCTTTCTACGTTTCAAACGCTTTTTGGGGGGTACCACCGGCGGCTCGGGCATTGGTTCGCCTTCAGGTTCGCCTTCGTCAAACCTGTCCTGTTCGTCCTGTTCATCCTGAGCAGCTGCATCTACTTCAGCCTGTCGCTTTGCTCCCGCATTTGTAAAGTTGAAATCCAGCGGTGGATCCCGCTTCTTCTTTGCCACCTTTTTCTGGACTGTTGGCACCTTCTCCTTCATTGCTGGTGGTGGCTTTGCAGAGTCTTGAGCCACTGGCAAAATCAAACTCATCGTAGACGGCTCATCATCGGCGTCCGAGTCACTACTACCCTTGTTCATCGACAACAGATTTAGAAGACCGTTTTCAGGAAGCTCCGGTGGCGGACTTTCACACACGCTAGCTGTACTCATCATACTCCTTTTCTCACCAACAACCTCTTCATCTTCTGGTCGTGTCACTGGCAAACAAATTGGTGCAATTCGCTTCACTTTGGTCTTGTGACGCGCTTGTTTTTCCTGCGTTACTCCACTTATCAACACCTTCGACTTTGCTTTCGTCTTTTCCTCGCTCTTCTTCTTCTTCGACTTCAACGCACTTTCGTCCGTCTGCGTGCCGCGCCCTGTCACTTGTTTCTTCTGTTTTTCCACTTGCACTCTCTCCATTTCCCATTTACGACGTAGGACCTCTTCATGCTCACGTTCCGCCTGTTCACGCGCCTCTTTCTCCCCCTTCTTCTGCTCCTCTTGCCGCTTCTTCTCCTTCTCCTTCGTCAGAAAATCAAGTCGACGCAGGTCACGATCGTATTCCAATTCCTCTTGCTCCATTTCTTCCGTCAAGAGAAAGTGCTGCCACGTCTTCTCCAGCTGCTGACGCCGTAGCTCAATGACTTCCCACTAGCCACCACACAAAAGCATACCCAAGCGCCTCGTGTCATGCAAAATCACTTAGAAATAAGACCAAGGTGATAAAGTACGCACTTGCAAGTCGAATGCTTCCAAGAGGAGCTCTTCGGGGTACACTTGGCCGCTCACGTCGTCCGTCATGGAGCTCTCGACAGACTTCATCCGACTGGAGCGAGCAGCACCGATATTTCAAGTGGCGCACACCACACGACACGGTATCCGAAACGTTCATACCGAGGTTTCATGGTATAATACCGGTATGTGAAGCTCGTTTAGAAACGAGCCGCTCAGCTATCGATCGATCAACGGTATCCCGCTTGTTCCCTGTACAAGAGCATTGCGACGCTCGACTGTCATTTCTAAATAGAGAGTCAGTCAGTCAGTCAGTCGTGGTCGTCGATCCTTTCGAGCAACATGGTCGCAGGGGGTGACGCGCAGCTCTTCCGGCTCGCGAGCGGCATCTCGTGCCACGCATGGAACAAAGACTGCAGCAAACTGGCCATCTGTCCCAACTCGAACGAGATCTGGATCTACTCGAACTGTCACGTGCTGGATCCATCCCAGTGGCGCAAAGAAGCTGTACTTACGGAACATGATATGCTCGTGTGTGGTCTGGACTGGTCGCCCGTGCACGAACAGCTGGTGTCGTGCTCGCACGACCGCGGCGCTTTTGTGTGGAAGTACGAAGCGGCGTATCGGCAGTGGAAACCGCTGCTCGTGGTGCTGCGTGTAACTCGAGCAGCGACGAACGTCAAGTGGAGTCCGGACGGTAGGACAATTTAAACGATTAAATTGATACGAGGGATAGAACCAGAGGGGGTTGGAGATGATGCTGATGACTGCAATGTGTGATGTGTATGTGGTGATGATGTTTAGGCAAGAAGTTTGCCGTGAGCAGTGGTGCCAAGTGTGTCTCTGTGTGTTACTACCAGGAAGCAGAGAACTGGTGGGTGAGCAAGATCATCAAGAGACACAAGTCTACGTACGTAAAAACATGAGATTGGCAATGGCAGTAGAGCTCTTGAGAAGAGCTTGGAACAGAGTAGTTAGCTGATGTGTCGTGGGTGCAGGGTGACGGACGTGGACTGGCATCCGAATAGCCAGCTACTGGTGACCGCGAGCACGGATCTTAAGTGTCGCGTGTTCTCGGCGCACGTCAATGACGTCGACGGACCGCCTGATGCAGGTCCATTTGAAGCCTTGCCGCCTTTTGGTGAGCCACTGGCGGAGTTCGACAATGCTAGCGCATGGGTGAATGCTGTAGCGTGGTCTCCGAAAGGTGACTGTTTGGCATTTGCGAGCCAGGGGTCATCCATTCACATTGTCCACTTTGGTGCACCTGGCGAGTATCCAACGATTCAGGTACTGTTCGAGTATTTTGGGGGAGAGAGGGGTGCAGAATGTTGCTTTGATGTTCACGTGAGCCTTTTTGCTGTATGGTGCACGTAAACTTGCATGACTAGTCGATCCGGTTCTCGCACCTGCCGCTGATGCGAATCATGTTCTTGTCAAACTCCGCTATCGTTGGCGTGGGTTATGATTTCAACCCAATGCTGTTTTCTAAAGACGGCAGCAACTTTTGGTACGATTTTTTGTCGCTATAACATGGAAATGTTTCGTGTGACCAAGTGATGACATTTTGTCCGTGTAGGTCGTTTTCTGAGTTTGTGGACAAGAAGCCGGCTGAGACTGCTGTGAAGACAAATTTGGGCGGCTTCAGTGCAGGCAAGCCCGCTCTATCTGTGTTGTTACAACCCAATTGGTTCTAATTATGCAGTGTGTGTACGCATGGAGTCCAGCTCGGAGTCTGTTTGAAAGCAAAGTGACGCGTGGACAGTCGTCCGATGCTACTCAACACGATAAAAACATGCTGTGGATGTAAGTGGATGCGTTATCATTGCGGTTGAGGACACGAGTGAATCGTGCGGGTGGCTAATGAACCTTATGACCGCAGGAAACACGAGAGCAACATCACGTGTATCCAGCCTTACGCGCGGTCCGCCTCTGGTGGTGTCACGGAATTCTCGACTTCCGGTATGTGCGTGCTTAGTCATTTCTAGTGCCGTGGTGATCTCATGGGTATCTTTTGCTTTTGGAATAGCGCTTGATGGTCGCGTAGTCCTCTGGAAATTGGGGAGTCTACGCGTGGAAATGAGCAAGCTGCATCTGTAAGCAGACATGGTGTTGCCGTTGTTGGCCAAGTAAACCTACGCAATACACTCGTAGTCATGCGAAAGATAAGAGGACTCATGATGGCACTTCCAACGGTACACTCGCGGAGATGAGCTCCAATACCAGAATGAACAAAGTCAGGAGGGAAGCTTTTTATCTTGTCGGCGATTGGTTTGTACATTCGTCCAATCTCACTTATTGGCCTGCACCATTTCGTGTGATAACGAAAGCTATTCATACAGTCGCTTTAGCCGTTTATACTCCTGACGGTACTGGTTTTCAACCACCGACGCTTGGCGAAAGTCCTTCCATTCCGGAAATTCCGTGAGCAGCACCGTTGGATCGTACGACAACAAGAGCTGAATACCCTGACTTACATCATTCAACGTACGTGCGAGGTCGATGTGGTCGGGGTTCAGGTATGTCCGCTGAAGCTCAAGTAGTTCGTAACTGCTACGCAGGAAAAGAATCGAGTATTCACACAGCCGCCCAGACTTCGCACCCAAAAGTAGTTCGCATGAGTCCGCTACCAACTTGTGGATGCGCATAAATACCAAGTGATCATGAGCTGCAATCTCCAGCGCGTCCGAGAGTGCCTCTAGCGCTACCGCTAACGCGGCAGCAGCACGTTTCGGCTTCGTTTGAATCAACTCTTCCGCAGCGACTAGCACCTTTTCTATGTCCTGCATGCGCGGCTTTGTGCCATCACTGTCACCAGCAGCAGTGGATGGTGAGGGCAATACGCTATCTCCTCGCTTGCAGAGCTCACATTTGCATTCGAAGCCAAACTGCTCCCACAGATTCTTCAATCTATTCTCACGACTCTGTTCGCGAGGGTACAAGTAAGAAATGGTGAGCTGCTCTCCTTTGGCAATGGGCCGTGCCACTCGCACCTCTGACACGGCACCTTCTGGTCCGATATCTTCAGGCGTAAACTTGACACAATTCGGGTTGCACTCGTGGTTGAACATGGCACTGTAGAGGAAGATGCCGCTATCGAACGCGTTACACTGCATAGCAAGCACATTCTGCAGCACATGGTCACGCGAGAGCGCTAAGGAATCAAAGTTCTTGCACAACTCGTCCACTTGCGAGCCGTACTTCTTCCTTGCTGCAGTAAGCAATTCTTCCGGTAGTTCACTAAGCTTCTCAGGGTACAAATGGCTCAAATGCTGCATAACGTCAGCATAATCTGGCCGCACTAGCACTGACTCCATCGTGGCCACGAAAAACTCAGGGTCCGATGCGTCCACATCACGCGGCCAGGGCACGTATACCTGCTCAACGAGCACCTGTGTACCCGGCTCGAGGTCTCTTGAGGCCACGTACCCGCGTTCTCCACCGACACCATCGAAGTTCGTAACCAGATCGATGGGTCCTACTGCTAATGGCTTTACGTCGTCCCAGGGCTCATACAAACTGCGCGTGACTTGAGCTGCTGCGTCCAGCTCCTGTTTCTCAGCCGTCAGAGTCGCTCTTTCATCCACAATAGAAATACGAACCACTTCACGAGACACCACAAGCGGCGTTGCGGTCTCGTCGTCGCTGCTGTCGTCGTCAAAGAGCTCGAAGGCCGCCTGGACCGACACGCTTGGTTGGCAACTCATGTCAAATCCCGGCGGATTTATGTACTGCACACCATATGTGCTCAAATGATTGTCTCTTTCCACCTGCCAATACGGACACCTTGGGTTTGTGGCCATCGTTGCCATTTCACCTTACCGCATTACCGCACGCATGGTCGAGGACTGGAGCGGCGCCATTGCAGGCCGCAAGCCCCCGCACGCGCCACTGTCTCCAAGCACGCAGCAGAAGAGTCACGTTCCCACTCCTTCCATCAGCGTCAGCGTCGTCGCTCCCGATCCCTCGAGTCTACCGCCTTTTGGATTAGAATCGTTGGCCCACCCCCACCCCTACTTGCAGCAGAGTGATGGTCTACCGCGCGCCACATCCGGGTTACCTCTAGGTCGACGCATGCGGCTGACCCTTGGACAGAAGCGCGAGGTCGTGGACCTCGCTGCAAGCAAGAAGTTCACCCACCGCGAACTGGCCGAGAAGTTCCGCGTCGGTCGCACGACCATTACGAACATCTGCCGGCAGGAAGAGTTGATCCGCACCGAGACGGACTCGGCCGATGCCGCCAAGAAGAAGCGCAAGACGACCAAGTGCACGTACGACTTGCGCGTGCTGGACGAGTGTCTGCACAAGTGGCGGATGGAAGTCAAGGTCTCGAGTCCTGAGACGAAGCTCACGGGCACAGTCTTGCAGCAAAAAGCCATGGAGTTGGCGTGCAAAATCGTCCAAGAGCCGTACGCGGATCTGCCGGACAAGGTGAAGCAGGCGCTGCAGCGCTTTACGGGCTCCAATGGCTGGCTGGATGGCTACAGAACGAGGTTTGGCTCGTTTAGTAGCAAACAAGGCCATGGAGAAGGCGAGCCGGGTGTGATTAAAAGCGTCGATATTCCAACGAGATTAAGGGAGTTGCACCACAGTTTCAGTCATGCGACGGTGGAGGAAATGTGGACGGGCGCGGAGTTTGCTGTCATGTACAAACCGCCAGTGCCGGATGGAAGTGGACCGATCGATGTGAATCATGGACAGTACACGGTGTCGCTGTTTGTAAGTGCTGCAGGAGAGAAGTTTAAGATGCAGGTGATTGGAGTGGAGCGGAATCCGGTGCTACTGGAAGGAATTGATACAAAGGAGATGTACGATATTCAGTATGAACACTCGAAAACAGGGTGGCAAGTGGCACAGACGACTGTGAGTATGCTTAAGTCTCTGAACGCACTTGCGCGTGAACGCAAACGCACGTTTCGAGTGGTGCTGGACTCGGCGGTGCCACATGTGAAGGCTGCAATGATTTTGGATTCGCAAGGCGATCAACGCACGTTCTTTGTGTACGACCATCTTCAGATTTACTTTTTGCCGCCGAATTTTACGTCCTTGCGGTTCCATCCATGCCATCTTGGTGTGATTCAAGCGTTTAAAGCGCGTTTTCGCAGCGAAATGCTTGAGTCGTTGTTCGGCAGTTATCGGCAGAGTGTGATCAGACAAGACCCGCGTGGCTTCCACCCACAGCGACACCTATACACGCGCAACGTTTTCCATTGGCTCTACGTGGCACTCCATAGCCTGGACACGCATCTTGTTCAGAGCTGCTGGGTCCACAGTGGCTTGCTGCCTACGAATGTGATTGCATCGCTTAACTTGCGTGTCATGTTGAAAAGTAATGATGTGACTCGGTCATCCGTAAATGTGACTCCATCCACATCTAGTGGCAGTGGTAGCGACAGCGCTAGTGCAAACTCTGAAGCTAATGACGCAAATATTGCGGCTGCGAATGATGACGTTGTTTCGACCGTGGCCAATCAAGGAGGTTTGCCATCTCCGGCACAGTTGTACGGCAATCTGCAGCAGCAGCTGACAAGTATCGCACGGCTTGCTCCTGACTTTCTATGCTGGATCGGTGTGACTGATCCTAGCGACGCACAGGCATATGTCGAGATCGACGGCAATGCTTCGGTTATCGATCCAGGTATTGACGAGGTCCAGATCATCCGCAGCGTGTTACAAAAGCACGGGTACTTGTTTGCAAAAAAGCTCGACGATGAGAGTCGTACAGAGGGGATGCACGAAAGTCTTGAAGATGTAGCCGAAGAGCCGTGCCCACGTCACGACGAGGTCGTGGCTTCGATAAGTGTGCTAAAGAAGTATCTGCGTCTATCTCGGGACGCATTGCCGTCGCGCGTTGAGGCTGTCGTGCAACTCAACCAAGTCAAGAAAGCAGTCGACGTAGCTGCCGCCCGTGCAGAAGCCAATCGTGACGTGTGAACGCAAAGCAGGGTCAAAGTAAGATGCGTGAGTGTAGTTATATTCTACGTGTAACTGGCATCGTGTTCACCGTATCTCACCGTCTTTGCCTTCCATGTTATACTTGTACCAGCTGGTGACACATCCTAGTCAGTACACTGTCCGAAGTTTATACTTAGTGGGGCTTGCTGCTATATTGGTGGATCCATCGAGCTGTCGATTTGCTTGGGCTGCCGAAAGCGACGGGGACCCCATGGGTAAGAGACCCACGGAGATGTGAGGCGGTGACTCGTCATCTTCCAGTGGCAGGATCGTGCGTTCCGCAATAGCCTGCTGCTCGATGCGACGTTGGCGGCGCGCGTAAGCTATGAGAGTACGAAGAGCACTAACAATCCAGTCGCGATGACTGGAGCTCTTGGTCTCCAAATCTAACGTGCGGTCCCGGAAAACGATCGAGAAAGAGAGCGCCTCAAGTGTGCTGGTGGATGGATACTTGCGAAACACACCAGTCTGTCGACCGTCAAGCACTTGCAGTACTTCCGCCAGATCTACTGCTCTGCTCAGTCCTCCGCGTTTATGCTGCCACTGTAGTGTACCGCAGCAGTTACAGTGGAGCCTAGTAGCATGAGCATCACCACGTCGTCCATACTTCAGCAGTGGAAAGAACATGTTGATCGCCTGGACCAGATACGAGCGATGTTTGCCGCCGAAGCGAAAAGCAAGCTCTACGATCTTCCACCGAGCACCTTCAATCGTCTCCAGTTCCTCGTCGGTGAACAAATACGTCTTGCGCTTCTTCCTCAAGTGCAGCGTCGCCAAAACGCGTGGACAAATTCTCGAAAATGCACTCTTCTTGTGCTTCTTACCAGGGTGCACGTCTTGCGGAACGGACGTGGGACTAAGAGGTGGTGGTGTAAGCATCAAGGATCCATCGTCGCTAGGAGACGAGATGCCGAGATCATATGCAGACGGGCATGACCCAGCTCTCCCCCGTTTTGGGCTATGTGCAGACTTGCGGCGGATTCCATACGACTGAGTCAATGGTTTGCGCATCTGATCAGAATCGTCTTTGAGCTCGATCACTAACCGGCGCACGCTCGAGGTAAGCTGGTCCTGGGCTGACAACATTGCATGTTCAGCTGCACAGGCGAACAGATGAGTCCGTCGGCGTTGCTGTAATTGGTGCTCATTGGGACTCAGCTCCTGTGCGAGCTCTAATGCCGCCTTGTCCTGCTCGCCGCTGATTCTGTCGTCGTCGTAGCTGTTATCGAGCTCAAGCTCGTCAACATTCTCAGTCTTGTAGCCGCCACCACCACCATCATCACCTTCCTCGCCACAGTCATCATTCTGGTACAAGTTCTCCGTGGCGCCATCAATCAGCACGTCCGATTCCTCAATAAAACTCTCACTTTCGATCCGACACATCAACTTGCGCACACTTGTCCGAATGTTTGCCTGGTCAAATTCCAGTAGCTCCCCACCGTTATCGCAGACTGTGTTTTCCTCCGAGTCGCCATCTACTTCGAAAGGTCGTGTACCATCCCCCCCCGAACGTCGAATAGATCTACGTCCTTCCACTTCGCTGCCGTCCCTTTCATCAACATTCACCTCTCCAGTAGCTTCCTCCCCCCCTTCAGCCACCTCGTCTTTCTCCTCATGATCATTCACCGTCGTCACTACTGGTGCAAAACTCGCGTGCAAAGCGCCAAACTCTCCCATCTGCACTTCGAGCGCTGTCCGTCGCCAGAGCTCCTCGTGACTCAATGGCCTCACCAGCGTTGCCGCCACAAGCGGCCGCACTGGGTAAAACTGGAGCCGCTCAATCGTCCCATCCTTGCTTGTTCCACTACCGCACGGATTCCACATGGTTATGCTTGATTGCGCCGTGGTTGTTACCTCCGTACTGCAGCGATCTGTAGACTGTGCAGTCTCCTTCGTATGGCCATCACCCGCACCGTCGTCGCCTTCGTCCTCATTGTCTTCGTCGTCATCTTCCTGCACCTTTTCCTCGTAGCAACACAAGCTTTGACTGCTACTGCGTGCGTCTTCCAGACTGCTCTGGAACCCGCTGCTACGTCGTACAATCGCCGACAGTTTGCTCAGTAGCACCACACTGGACGAGCGCTGGCGACGGCCCGGCCACGTCTGCATCGACGTCGAGCCGGATGAAAAAAAATGAGCTGGAACTCAACGCCAAAGCAAAACACGTGCGAGACGACCCGAGAAAAGAGGAGAAACCGTCCGATCTCCCGGATGGCTACAGCGACGTTTTCTCTGGACAGGACGGCTACAACTCAAAAGGGACGGAAGTCGCTGACTACCGTGGCACCTGCAAGGAAGGGTACAAGCTGCTGTTTAGAAAGTGTCCAACGACATCACCTCGTTTCTTCGCCCGTAGAGCATGGTCAAGATCCCTCTCTCCCCCCTCCCCTCCGCTGCGCGGTCATCGTCCACTGACTGGAGCTCGAGCCGTGACTTGCCCACCCAGGAGCAGCTCGATCAACGGCGTCTCTGCACGAACCGTTATCGACTGCTCGTGAAACGGTCAAGACGTCAAGCGCGTCACTGACGCCAGGGTAAAAACGAGCCAGACGTGCAGTTGACGCGGTGCATAGCCAGGGCAGCGTGTGCAAGCGAGCGATCATTCACCACGGGCTCCGATGGCAACTGGCTCTTCTCTCGTTCCAACTTGAAGCTGAAGCATCGAGGAGGAGATAAAAGAGCCACGACTGGACTTTCCCGGCCGGATGATGGATGCATGCTGCCGTGCTGCTGGCCTCAGCACAATTCGACTGGACAAAGGTTGATGGAAACAACGTGGACCACATCATCGAATTGTCGTTAAGTACGATGACGACCCAACTGCAGCTGGTGTAGCCATTTGACATCCACATGGTGAGTGGTGGCAAAGTGCCTCGACGCAACGGACGGACCCGTCGTCTCCAGGGCTCAGGCGCTCTGTTGCAGTGCGGTGTAGGATCCGTCCACCCAAGATCTCGTCTGCTGGTGTGGCACTCGTGCTTTTCGCACGCTGCGTCTCGCCACGAGAGCGTCGTGCGTGGCCACGCTCTCAACCAGCAGCTCGAAGTGTACCTTCCATCCAAAGCTGGGAGAGCTACTGCGCAGTCTTTACAATGGGAAACTGGCTTTTATTACGAAGTGAGAACGTCAGTGACAATGTTTCTGTCGCCTGCTTTCATCCGCACGTACCTTATGGATGGCGGCGCAGTGTTTATGGTGGCCAAGAACGTGGCAGTGGACGCGTCGCAGTCTGCGATGCTGCTACCTTCCGGTCACTTGCTGCTGCTCGTGGATGCTGATACGTACCATCAATTGGGGATCATGGGGGAGAAATATGGCAAGGCAGCACCTGCAAGTAGCAGGACTGCACATGAAAAGCAGGGACAGAAGTACGTGATTACGTTGGACTTGACGTCGTCAATGTTTCTTGCTGAAGAAGGGAATCACCATCACTTGGGAGAGCGCGTGCGGAGATTGTTGAGTACGAAACTTGATCATCTGGAGATGTTGCTGTGCGCATACAATCAGCGTGGCTCGCCACGCACGATCTCGTTTGGAGAAGATGACACCGTGCCACGGGTACGAGTTGAGCTGAATGGCAAGACCACGACGTTTAACGACGTGTTTCTGCCCAAGTTTGATGCTTTTTACAAGGCGTTGAGTGCGAGTGACGAGCACGGAGATGGTCGAATGGACACGTTGAGAACGTCGTTGCACGAGGCGTATGACTGGTTGGGGCTCGTAGCCTGCCGATTGACAACCTTGTTGCAGAGAGAAAAGCTGGAAGAGTATGTGTCGACGTTCGCAGGAATTCCTGATTCATTTGAATGTGAACCGGACGGTGAGATCACGACGGTACAGTGGCGCGGTCTGCTAGCCGCGCCGTTTTGTTCAGCAATTGTTGAAAAGGTGCAGCTTGCTGTCAAGAATGGGGATTTGCCGTGGGGTGCAGTTACAGTGTGGGGGTTTCCGGATGTCTTTGTGTCGTGGGTGCAGACCAAGCTGAACAAAAGTACTAAAGGAACGAAAGGGTCTCAGCGACGAGAGCATGGCTACCTGAGTAATGGCAGCAACAACTACACAATACTCATGCTTCCAAACGAGGAGTACTTTGTGCTGCAATCTCTCGGCCCACACGATGCCACCAAGTAGGCGGAAGATGTACCGATTGTAGATCAAACGTCGAATCTGCTTGCACAACTACAATAGATTCAGGCACTTACTTGCACCAAGCCCTTGTCCAAATTCCTCTGTTGTCAGTTCGCAAGAACTTCTGACACAAATGCCACAACTGTGGACGAGTCAAAGTTGGGATCAGCTTCAACGAGAGTCGCCGCCATCTTGATGTGCTTGCGCGCCATCTTGACATTACTCTTCTTTCCGTGAATGAGCGAAAGCCGCAAATTTGCAAAGAAACAAACACCAATGTCACTATGGCTGCTCGTAGTCGTGGCTGCACTGCTGGCGTCGTCGCCAGTGTCATCGGATCCTGCAGTCATAGTCGCTGTCAACGAAGCTACGAGCTTCCACACATTGATAGCAGCGTCCAAGAGCTGATGTTCTTCGTAAAGCCCACCTAGCTCAAGAAGGATGGGAACCAATTGACCGCTATCTGAGACAGCAGCTACCGTAGCCAAGTACTTGCTGATGGCCTTCGCCGGGTCGAAGACAGACAACAATCGCGCTTCTAACAAATCAGTGTCCACCGAACGCGCCATGGCACCACACTTCGTGTCTGTTGCCACCCGGTGCAGAGCATTGTTTACTGTAGCAATCGCTTGGTCGTGCATGCCAAGTCTAACAAAGCAATAGCTCGTCAACAGCTCCAACTGAGCGCTGTCGTACTCGTTTTTGCTCGCACTGATGGATAACGATAGACCAGTCTGTAACAGGCGCAGTAGTTGGCGGAGAACTTCGTCGATCGGCTCATCCGTTGCTTGAAGGCTCATCCGCTTTAAAATGCTCGCTCCAGCTACAACGTACGCCTGTGGGTTCCACGGTTGGGCACGGATCAACTTTTGCGCATCCCGGCATAACCCCTCCGTTCCCGATGGACCAGCCTTGAACAATCCGACTAGGGAATCGAGAAGGCTGCGATCGTCTGTCTCCTCACCAGGGGACGGAAGACTATTTGCGGGTGCTCGCAAGTACTCAGCAAGACAACTTGACACATGAAGGGTCTGCGAATCGACCGCTGCAAAACTTAACCTTACCCACAGCGCGCTGGAACTGACACCACCACTGGTTTGTGATAGAGCCTGCATTCGTGTGAGATAAGCCTCATCGGTGCCTATCCACCGCTCAAAGAGTTCCATTGATAGCAGATCCAGATAGTCGCGCCTGGAAAGAGACGACTCTGCTTGATGAACCGACGACAAGAGGTGATTTTTACATACTGTTGCCAGGCGGCTCGCTTCAGGAGGGAAGTTGTCGATTAGCAGGCCTGACATCGACAGACCAACTGAGGCAACGACATCATTTTCCCTCGTCTGAAGGTTTGCATTGGACAGCAGCTCCTGGAGTAGATCGAGCGCCTCGCCTCCCTTTGACTGACGGTACAGAAGATGCGCTTGGACAATGGCTTCTAGTGCAATGGATCCCCCTGCTGACGGCTTGATGAGCGTGGCGATCTTTTGCAGTAGTGCGGTCTCGTTCGTCGCAAGACTCTGGGTCGTGAGGGAATGTTCGCCAAGCGTCGTTACGAGTGTGTTCCATTCGAGCCCTTCGAGCGCCTGCGACGATGAGGCCGCGCGGGTGTAAGATGTCAAGGCGTTTGAGTACAGCCCGAGACGATGCTGCACGATACCGAGGGCGTGCCAAGCATGCCCGTAGTATGGGTCTCGTTCCAAGTATTTCTTCAGAAAGAACATTAACTGCTCATTCCCGTGCTCTGGAGCACCAGTGATCGATTCGTCAATGCTATCCCCACAATCAAGCAGTGCCATGCACAAGCCCAGCAAAGCATCGAGATCCAATCCGGTCTGCAGCGCACAGTCAAAAGCTTCAATCGTTTTCATTTGCTGAACTGCTGTGTCACCTTGACGTCGAGCCAGCATTGCATACCCATTCCACATCGACGGGTTACTCGGATTTATACTCTGTAGCTGGAGGAACGATTTTCGGGCCAGAGACGCCAGTGTCGGCACGACGTCGGCGTGACTGAGGTAAAACATGCCCAAATTTGCCCATGTGGCGTCGCTACTGCTCCCTGTTTGGATCGACCGTGTCCACGCAAACTGCTTGACTAGTAAATTGTCAGACACCAGTGCCAGACCATTCCAAGCCAATGAGCACGAAGGATCCTCCTGGAGTGCGAGCTTGAAATTCATCAATGCTTTTGCCTTGAGTTTTATAATGGGCACATTGTTGTCGGAGCCGGCAGGACCTTTTTGAATCGAAAAAGCTGATGTACAATGGCCATGTACGTTGTTGATAGCTTCAGCTTCGTACCAATAACTTAGACCGACATCATAGTATCTCTCTGACACAGCCACCACGTCAGGACCATCGGTGGTTTCCTTTTCACATTTTCTGGCTAGAAGCACAGCTGCCTCATACGCCTTTCTTCCTGCGCTGATAAAATCAACCCAGCTAGACTCTTCACTTGAGAAGTTCTCTGGTGACAAGTGGAACGCAAAACAGTGAATATCACCGATCAGCTTACAGGCTTCCACGGACCCAGAGAGCGATACAGTGGACGGCAGTCCCTTCATGATACGCGATGCCTCCTTCAAATTTGCAGCTGCACTACCATACAATCCTTCTGCACATAAGTATTTCGCTTGCTGGAAAAGCAAGTCGGAGTAAAACATCGAGGCGGCGGCCACATCGGGTTCACCATTCTGCAACTCGCCAGTAACTACCGGCCTGATACGCTCCAAGGCATCATCGAAAAGCAACAACGAGCCTTCAATCTTCGCCAGCTCGCAGCGAACACACCAGTTGTCTTCACCCAGGTCAATTACCTTCAAATACGACCTCTGCGCTGAAACTTGTTTATCAAAGTTTTGATAAACGTGTGCTAGAATTACCCAGTAGCGAGCATTCATAGGATCGTTGCGCAGCACTAGATGCATTTTCCCCACTGCAGCCTCATTATTTTGCTCCACCAGGTGCTGCACTAGTCGCAAAAGTGCCCATGTAGGGGCTGTTACTTGACCCTCGGTCACTCGTTGCCATAATGTCACATTTGCTGTGTATTTTCCTTGCAGATCGTACAGATTGCTCAAGCCGATACCTGCTAGCTCATCAGTGGGAGACAGCGAAAGCGCCTTCAAAAAGCATTTTTCGGCACGCGTAACATCGTCTGCAATGTCTTCGTACCATTTACCCAGCCAAGCAAAGATCTCTGCGTCGGAGGGCGTTAGCTTGGCGGCTTGCAACAAATGGCCGAAGCATCCCGTTTTGGCTGTCTGGTCAGAGCCGCCCAAATGCCAATAAACGATTGCCAATCGTTTGAGCGCTCGCCCTCTGCCGGAAACATCACCCGGATCAATCTTGCTCACATTTGCTTCCAGCAGGGTTTGGGCCTGCTTAATATCACCCAGCTGAAAGTGGAGCCATCCACGCAAGCACAATACTGTCGCGGCCACGCTTTCGTTCTCCAGATCAGGTGTAGAAACAGAACTGAGAATGTCAAAGGCCTCTTGCGGTTGCGCTTTGCTTGCCATCAGCTCTGCTGCTGAAATCGCCGCTTTTACCGCAAAACGAAGGTCACCACTCTTTATGACACTTCGGTAATGCTCCAGGGCCTTCTCCACTTCGCCCGAACATTCGCGTGCAGTGGCCGTCATAAACAGCAACTTTACTTCAGAATATCTGGAACCACCGCGAGTACAATACCAAGTCAAGCTCTGAAGTACAACATACGACTATGAACACATGTCACGGCTTACATCTCAGGAAGCGGACCTTCGGATCCGAGAAACGTTGTCTTGTTGGCCACCACCTTTTTAGCTAGCGCAAGACGATTCAGACAGCCTTCTACATCGCGTGCTGCAAGTGCGATGGACGCTAGTTCAATTTGTGTGCGGATACAAAGAGCACATTCTTGAAAGGATGACGAAGCATATCCTGCAAGGGCTTCAACAAGATGTTCTCGAGCCTAGTACGACAGGACGAGTTTACGACGGTCAGTACACCAACATCAAGGAGCGCAACACAGTACGAACTTACCTCACTACTATTCCCGTCGCACAAACAGTCAACCGCTCGAAATGTAAGAGCCATGGGGCTCTTAGGATGACTTGCAAACAGCGTGGCTGCAACTTCTTTGGCTTTGTCCAACTCAATGGCTGCCATCAAGCATTACACAAACACTAGTGAGTAGTGCCATCCGCTATCTGGCGGCCGACGACGATGACGGGAAGAAACTTACGACTGTCCTGATCCTCAGATCGGAGGAGTAAGAATTCTGCTGGAGTCTTGGATGCAGGAAACCACTCGACAATCGACATTGCTACTGCATCGATGGTCTTGAGGAGAGCATGCTTTGTTTTAGAAGTCTTCAATAAGTCCAAGTAGGATCGCATGAAGAACGCAATCGCAACATCCACTCGCGACCGAAGTGCACTGAGCTCGTCATTACACACTTTCCAATTCGAGCGAGATGCTGCAGCAAGACACTGACTGGCAATTTCCTCCATTGAGTAGTTGCCAGTGCAAGCTGATAGACTGAAACCGGGACGCTGAGGCCGCAAACATAATGCTTCTTAGTCTGACGAGTTAACAGCACACAATAACTTACAATACCTCACCTGCAGTAGATCGACTAGATCCAGCCATATAGTCAACACGGACGGTAGCTCCTCATTTGGGGTCTCCTCCATCGACAGCTGGCCGAAAGCTCCAGTCTGCTTACCCACAAGTGAGTACCACGCGTCGAAAGCCTGCATATCAACCGTGAGCAGCAAAAAGTAATCAGAATCGAGTAAGAGACCATATCAGATGCTTCATACGGTTTAACGAAAAGTTGGAGCACAACAACGTACTTTTGGAAGCATCTTAAGCTCCAATGCCGTTGTCGCGACCTCTGCGACCCACTTCTGACATCGCTTAAACTTCTTGCTCCTATGTACGCCACGAATGCCCGAATTACATCAGCAAAGATACCAAGAAAAACACAAGTTCCAATGACCCCTCTATCCAAAACACCTCAAATTGATCGCTACAAGTTTTTCCATTGGCTCCAACTTGTTTTTCAAGTCGTGTTTGGCTTGGAAAAGGTCTACAAGGTGCTATTGAAGCAACACAAGTACATAAAAAAGATCAGTTATCATAAAAAGAGCGATACAGAACGTAATCCACCCACCTTCCACGGCGCTGGCATCTCCGGCTTCAAATCCGAAGCTCGCCGATACGCCTCTTCACAGTCTCCCCACTGCAATAACACCATAGCATCAGCAATAATGGTTTCCAAATAATTGCAATAGAAATAGAAATTAGTCATGTGGGTCTGTTCCGATAAAGGGTAGTTACAAAGCCCGACCTGCTGGAGGTGGAAGCTAGCGAGCCCTACACACATGAAAGCCTGGAAGTTGTTTGGGTCAAACTGCGTCACGCGACGAGCAGCGTCTTGTGCCTCCTGGTAGCGCTCAGCCTTGAGTAAAGCCGCCGCATCCACGAGCATCTGCTTCAGCAGAGTCGCCGACATCTTTGTGTTTGCAAATAGAAATGAGACCCAATAAGAATGAAATTGGGCTCTATTTTTATAGAAACAGACTATTACCCATTCTGAAAAAAACACACACAACCACAATCCAAGCCCTCATTCGCGAATAAAACCCTCCGAGCATGTTCAGGGTCGGCACCACCACGTTGGCGCGGCGCCCGCTCGCTCCTCTGCTGGCTGCGCGGTCCTGCAACAGCTCAATGTTTTATAAGGCACGTCCACAATTGCTACAGATGCCTACTGCGGGTCTAGCGCGATCTTATTCTGCCCGGTCCTCCTCGACACCAGGTATTTGGTCTGGTATAAAAAGATGGGTGATTGGGTTAAAGTGACGCTATCGATGTGTCGATTTGGTTTTTTCATTGATAGCGACGCAAAGAAAAGCACAAGTGGCGGCAGCAGTACTGGCGACAGCTGGCGCTGCTTACGTGTACACGACGACTGAGCGTCAGAGCAAGCACGAGAAGCAGCAGCGTGAGCTAGAGATTGAGAAGGAGCGGAAGCTTAGCAGTCGACTGGCAGCAGAGCTCGTAGCAGCTGAAGCCAATCAGAACAAATTGGACTGGAAGGCCACGCTCGAGCGTGTCGTGCCGGCGATTGTGTCGCTCAAGCTAAATTCACCTAAGGTGGGTGAATGGGTGAAATGTTGTTGCGTGGGTGGTGCATTGATGGCTAAAAGTGGGTGTTTTTCTACTTTGGATTTTACAGTTCTTTGACACGGAGTCACCAGGCAATGGATCGGCCACGGGCTTTGTGGTAGATGCTGAGAAGGGGATTATTCTGACCAATCGACATGTTGTAGGGCCAGGACCGATTGTACGATTGATGGAAATGTTGTTGTTCTTATTGTTGTTAGCAAAGGGTCTTGATTATTTGACGACACGTTGTCAAAACTTGCAGGATGCGGAGGCTGTTTTCCAGAACAATGAGGAAGTGCGAGTGATTCCCATTTATCGGGATCCAGTTCATGATTTTGGTTTCTTTCAATTTAACCCAGCGGTAGGTAGTTGTTTATTGTGTTTATGTGTGTGGCTGCAACGAACAGGCACTGACTGATTTTTTCTACTGATGAATAGGACGTAAAGCACATGTCAGTGCCGTCCCTGCGTTTACAGCCGGAGAAAGCTACTGTGGGAACAGATATTCGAGTCGTGGGAAACGATGCTGCTGAGAAACTCGCTATTGCTAGCGGTACGCTGGCGCGCCTGGATCGCGACGCACCCAACTACGGATTTAACAGCTACAACGACTTCAATACGTTTTACTACCAAGCATCGTCAGGAACAACCGGGGGCTCTTCTGGTTCACCTGTACTCAACCATGATGGCGACGTAATCGCTCTCAATGCCGGTGGCAAGATTGGCACAGCAGCGTCCTTCTATCTACCATTGGATCGAGCCAAGCGAGCGTTCAATTTAGTTCGGGAAGGTAAGGACGTTCCCCGCGGCACTATCCAGACCATTTTCAACTACAAGCCTTTCGACGAGGTGCGTCGACTCGGTGTAGACAGCGCTACAGAAGCGCTTGTGCGCTCTTCTTTTCCGCTAGAGATAGGAATGCTGACAGTAGCAGAAACAATTCCGGATGGCCCGTCCAGCAATAAGCTTCAACCAGGTGACGTGTTAGTACGAGTCAACGGCGAATTGATTACTCGATTTGTACCGCTCGAAGCGATTCTCGACGATAGTGTGGGCAAAGAGGTAGGTGTTTTTGTCAATATCGACAACATGACATGGAGTTATATGGCTCATAAGTACCTTTGGGTTCGTCACAGGTGGAGCTCGAAGTCGAGCGTTCTGGAAAGCCGGTCACGTACAAGATACAGGTCCAAGACTTGCACTCGATCACTCCATCGCGCTTCGTGGAGATCGGTGGGGCAGTTATAAACCCGCTGTCATACCAGCAAGCACGAAATCATGCAATGAGTCCTGGAGCACCGTACGTCGCGGACCCAGGTTACTTTCTTCAGCGTTCGCGCATCGAACGCGGTGCCATCATTCACTCGGTGAATGGCATCAAGACACCTGATCTTGAGACGCTCAAGAACTATCTGAAGCAATGCGGGGACCGTGATCGCGTCGTGGTGAAATTCTCTAAATTGACGGATAAGTCGGAGAAGGTTGAGGTTGTGCATGTGGATCGCAGGTGGTTTCCGTTCTGTGAGTGCGTGCGCGATGACAAGCTTGGAACGTGGTATTGCGAACAGTTTTTGCCTCCGGCCGACAAAAGCAATGATGGCAATGGCACGGATGCAGTCGATGAGAAGCCAATCGGCTCAACAACAACCTTGCCGGGCAAAAACCCGGTGGAAAATAAGCTTGCGCGATCTTTGGTGACAGTGGACTTTGATAGACCGTTCAGCGTGAACAGTTTGTCAATGTCGAATTACCGTGGCACAGGACTTGTGATCGATGCAAAGAAGGGGCTTGTGGTTGTAGACCGCAACACTGTGACTGACTCGATGGGCGATGCCATGGTGACCTTCGCCAGCACTATCATGGTTCCTGCCCAAGTGGTGTTCGTCCACCCGGTGCACAATTTCGCGATTGTACAGTACGACCCGAAGCTGATCGGATCGACACCCATTGAGAGCTGCCAAGTGGAAACAAAACCACTTGCACCATCCGATTCGGTGTGGCTCGTGGGTCTCATGAGTAGTGTGGGGCGTAGCGGCCACTCTGACCTTGTGTCCCGCGAGACAATCGTGTCTGGTGTGAAGTGGATTGGGTTACCGATGCCAAATCCACCACGGTACCAGGAACATAATCTGGAAATGGTATCGCTGCAGGACGTTGTTGGCACTGAAGGTGGCGTCATTTGCAGTGACGTGGGTGAGGTAAGCGCATTTTGGGCCTCTTTTTCTTTCCAGCAGCAGCGTCGTAATTCAAAAGTGGAAAGCCAGTTCAACCGCGGTATCCCGATGGATATTATCATGGAAAGCGTGGCGCCGCTCATGCGTGGAGCGACACCCAACATCTACGACCTTGGTGTTGATTTTGAGCACTTAAGTTTGGCTAAGGCTCGCGAGCTTGGACTTGGACAAGCTTTAGCCGAGATTCTAGAAAAGGACGCGCCGGATCACCGCACCATCCTGAGTGTAGCCCGTCGATGGGGTGGCACCGAGGCACAGGCGGTGCTAAAGAATGGGGACATTTTAGTTGCGGTGGACGGCAAGATTGTGACAAGTTTCCGCGAAGTAGAACGTTGTACACAGAAGCCAGAGGTGGAGCTCACGATCGTGCGCGATGGTCGCGAGATGCAACTGGACGTGAAGACTTTGTTCATGGAGCGCACGGAGATCAACCGCATTGTGTTTTGGCAAGGTTTGTTGCTGCAAGCGCCTCCATTGTCTGTCTCGGCGCAGCGCAGCATCTCGTTGGACGACGGCATTTATGTGTCTTGTCGATACTCGGGCTCTCCAGCTGCTCGTTATGGCCCACCGCCTACGAGTCGCATCAAGGAAATCGATGGTATAAAGATCACCAGCATCGACGACTTTCTGAGCGTCGTTACGTCGAAATCTACGAACGACTCGGTGCGCATCAAGTACACCGATCTGAGCGGGAAGGACCGTCTCAGCACACTCAAGCTCGAACCCAAGTACTGGCCTACGAGTGAGTTGGTGAACGAGGACGGTGAATGGCGTCGGCGTCAACACTAGAAGAGCTTCATGTAGTCACAGTACGCAGCAGCAGCTGTCAAGGATGCAGCAGCGACATAAATGCAGTGGTGGGCGATCGTCATTGACTCCTGTTGAGTTTGTTCACCCACATTACTTTGAAGGAACTGATCTTGACCAGGAGACCTTGTTGGTGGTACCCACTTTCAATAGTTGCGTCAAACGCGTATTCCGATTTGTATAAAAGCAAAACCCGTCTTTTTGTGTCTGCGTATACATACATTTCAGCACGGACACATTTTATGCATCCGCTTAAGTAACGCCACACGCGCGCACGTCAAATCTGAGTCCGCAATCCCCGGTTCAGTGACGTCTTCTCAGCCCAGCACGAGCATGGACACACCGCCAAGCATCCGTCGGCAGTATGCAAGTCCTCCTCGCGAGACGCCCGTGGAGCGGCGACAGCGTCTCGCCAATCGTCGTGCAGCCAAGTATCGTCACTTCCGATCACTGACCAAGAGACAGGACGCTCTGGACCCGTCGATCGAGCTCCAGCGACAGCAGAACAGTCGCAGACAGCGCGAACATCGGTCACTATTGGATGCTGACGCGCGCGACCGCCTTCGAGCGCAGAATCGCCGTCGTCAGCAGCTTCGAAGACAAAATTTGAGTGATGAAGCAAAGGAGGAGGTCCGAGCCAAGCAGCGTGAGCGGCAGCGACAACGTCGACAAACACTGGACGATGACGCGCGCGAGGAGCTCCGAGAGCGCGAACGCCTGCGCATTACACGGCGGAGGCGGCAGTTGAAAGTCTTGAATAGGCAACAGAATAAGAAGCAACAGGTTGACGGTCAGGAGGAGATACTACCAGCTCAGCTGCAGCTGCTGCAGCCTTCACCGGTGGTGAGAGAGCGACTGCCACACTTGAGGCTAGCGCCAGAGTTGCCGACTTTGCGTCGACATCAGGAGCTGCAAAGGCAGAGAGAGATACAAGGTCAATTGTCGCTGAGTGGAGGTGTGCATATCGCAGTGACGCCTCAAGCACTGGACATGGAGAGAGTTGGGACGTTCCAGCTTGAACGGATGCCGTCTTTGCCTCACTTGCAGCAAGTGACGAGACCAACGACAACGTCTTCATCGCTGCATGCCACGATGCCGCTGGCGTTGTTTCCGATGAATGGTACGATCGCTAGTGGAGCAGCAAGTGCGACGTCAGTAGGGTTGCCCACGGTTGCTAGTGCTGTGGCTGCGGTGGCGACTATGCCGTCGCAGCCGACGACGACCATGCCATCAGTGAGTGTACCGATACAAAACAAGGCGCTGACCGCCCTGCCAATGGTTCCGAAGCAACAACAACCTCGGACACTCATCGGGCTTCCACCAGGAGGACATCGATCACTTCCCCCGTTACCTGACTTTCTCAATAGCCGCGAATCATTTCATCTCGCCACTGCTGTTGCATCCACTTCGACACAGATCCCACGATCTTCAAGCAGTGCCAATCGAGCTTTGTTTCCATCGATGACCGACCTCCCTGCAGTGCAAATGGATGCACTGGATGCTGAGTCTTTTTTTCAATCTTGATGGAGCCATAAACACGGTAAAGATACGACATACGGATATTCCAGAGCACTTGAACAGCCTTGTGTGCATGGTCATCAAATCTTGTCGTGAAAACCGTGCTCAAGCTGTGACTTCACCGGCTGAGCACTCAATCAGCTTCATTGCGTACGTATCAAATGTTCCCACGACAACGTTCGCGAGTTGTGACTGTCACGGCTTCCGAAGTCGGTAGTACACTTTGGCGTGCTTCACACCTGAGGTTGACAAGAAAGGTGATGGTATTGATGCCGAGTATAACATGGATGTGTGGTCGCGGGCACGCGAAGGAAAGACATCGGTGAGCCCTTAACGAGCAACACCAAAGTTTAAGCTGCAACATTGCTGACTACTCTCGCACTGAAGGTGCCGTCCATTATTTCGTGTGAATTAACGATGAACTATCGGGATGCTACCACGGTCGAACACAGGCCGTACGTTGCTTCTCGATCACTACGGCTGGATCACGTTGTTGACCCAGGACAGGCTGAGATTGTACGTGGTTTCTATTTCTTGAGCCATCGTCGTTGGCTTTCGCTCGTATCAAACTGCTGGAAGACGCGTTATGAGTTGTGGGGCTTCAGCAGGAGAGCGGACTGTCTCGTGGCGTAAGAAGATAAATTATTTGTCATCGGGAGCACTGCTGTAGCAGGTTGAAGCACTAACAAAGCACAAGAGATACTGTAGGAATTTTGGCCTTCCTTCTGTGACACATTGGGCCATCGGCACGATAAGCGTGCAGCTGACAGCCGTCCCGCTATTCAAGCAAATTGATTGTGCGTTGTCATATAGCTTGTCCTGAGTACGCACGCGTTTTCGTGTCAGCGGGTTTGCTTGTTAAAGCTCAAGCTCTCTTGATGCTATCATCTATTCGATGCTTGCCCAAGCGAAGACAACCACCAATCTTGTTGGCTGCACATTCGATTGTTGCTATGGAAGTGGAGTGTTTTGACGCATTGGTGACCTTCGTGTTCGTGGGTATTCGCTACAAGACTCTTTTCGATCTACAGCTAGCATTTGCTTGCACATACCGTGCTCTAAATGCTCACCGCACGATTTCCTGGTCAATTGAAGACATCGGTTTCCGCCACGATAAGAATGATCAAACGCTGAATGTTACGGGATCATTTCGAGTACGCCGGGTAGGATTGTTGCCACCCGAACATGGCATAGTCGCAATCGTCGCTGTCGGCTTGGAAGTGTATAGAGGCAAGATGCTGATGCTGCGCAGTCCAGTACAAGACTAGAGAGTTTGGCGCAGAAATGTGCCGACGTCACTGTGTCGAAGACGCGAGCCGAAAGTGGCCATCTAGAACGACTTGCGGGTGGGTTTTCTGCTGTTGTTGAGATGATCCTGCACCCCGAACTCGACCACTGCGTCAAGGAAGTCGCACTGGTACTTTGACTCGTGCAGCTTTTACGCGCTCGATGGCAGCAACAATTTTGCTGATTCTCATCGCCTTACACTAATGGAAACAACTTGCGCAAGATCTCGGTCTTGTGACCACAAGATGCTGTACCCGTCAGCAACTCGTTTACGGACTTCTTCCACTGTGTCTCGAGTTTGCCATAATTGTGCTAAAGGATGAGCGTTGCGCTACGTGGAATCCTGATGACTGGGTGATGTTTGATTCGCAACCTTTCGACTGGTGCAATCTGCTCATGAAGCGAGCGAGATCCATGTTGTAGCTAACGCAACTTTGTTCAAGATGCTGTCATTCTGGTAGTCTCATCACATTTGCGGTACTGTTGGTTTGAACACTGCTTGTTCATTGCAGATTCGACAATCATTGCAGCATGTGGCGTGACACGCCGAATGTATGAATCTAAAGAAGATAGAGTTGGCGGTACTCATGTTGATCAGCACTTGTCAATGACACGATCGTATCGATCTCGTTGCTCGGGTTTCTCTTCTGACCGAGCGTCACTGCGGACCAACACATAAGCACTCTTCTGGACATTAGGCATACGGTCACAACTTCACCAGGTCCCCATCTATTTCTAAGAAACAGAACTGATTCCACTGCAAGATGGAAGAACCCACTCGGTGGTTTTGGTCCTCGTAGCACCAGCATGAAATGATGACGAGAGAGCTCTTGTGGTGCAAAGGTGCTGTAAGTTGGAGCTCTACCTTACCAAGTGCCATGCCAAGCATTGGGAAATAGCGAAGATGATACTTGATAAGGCAGATCGCAACTGTATTTTAAGAATGACAGCGAGTGGCACTAAAGACAGTGTCAGTGCAGTAAATAGGCGGTAGCAGATACCTTGTTTTTCGAATCGTGGTGCAACTGTGTGACTTGTCGAGAGTAGGCCTCCCGTTTATGCAAGTTGTCCCTCATTCGAACACATCTCCAATAATGGGCCTGACCGATACAAACGCGTCCGTCATGACATCTCCCAGTTGGCGATATTGTCTCCACATTGCATACTATGGAACCGATTTCATTGGCTGGCAACGACAGCATCAAGAGGTGAAGAGCAGCTCGGGGCTCGACAGTGTTCAGGAAGTCGTGGAGGCTGCAGTCACGGAGACGTTAGGAGCCCCACAGCGCGTGAACGTCACTGGAGTCAGTCGGACGGATGCAGGGACTCATGCTCTATATGTATGGCCTCAGGGATATTGAAGGGGGTTGGTTACACTGGAGTTGCTAGACTAGAAATGGACTAAGGGGACTTGTGAATTGAAATTCGTGCGCAGCAAATGGGGTTCATCCGACTTGCTTCAGAACTGCCCATGTCGTTGCAACAATTGAAAGATCGAGTGAATGCCAGGTGGCTGGCTGTCGGTGTTTGGACTTGAGGAGGAAAGCAGTTGGGTGCTGATGTCTTTGTTTTCCCGTCTATTCAACCAGATTGGGACATGGTCAAGTCGTGGTGCTGGGTGTGACGATCCCGACGACGGGGCCCGCGCGGATCCGGTCACGCTACAAGAAGTACATTTACTATTTGCAGCAAGGACATCGACCAGATCTTGAGCTGGGCAAGTACTCGTGGTTTCTTGGTAGAAGACTGGACATTCAGCGGATACGAGACGCGCTAGAGTGCGTTGGAGATAGAAAGCATTGGTGGAAGCGTGTACATGAGGTGAAAGCTGACTTCTTATGATTCAGATTTTTGGAGGGCACGCATGACTTCCGACCATTCTCCCAGGGACTTCAGAGACCGCAGTTCAAGGATATGGCAACCTCGCGCACGATCATATCGGCCAAAGTCATCGTTCGACGGTATGTAGGCACACGTTTTGCTTGTGCGTGACCCGCAGCAAACAGCTCATGTTATCGCGGGTGTCATGAATGACAGAAACGTGAACTTTTCCCTTGATCCCGCAGTGTGCGGTAGTGGTGACATCATCGACGCGAAAGACATGTACCAAGACTTTCATTCAAACGTAGGCACCGTCGACACACACCCTTGGAATGAGAACAAGGCTGCTGCAGTCAATGGGCTTGAGAAGCAGAAGACCAAGTATGCTAAAGGAGTCGTGCCCGTGCACTTTGTCTGCATTGAGCTGGTTGCCAATGGTTTTCTACGACACATGGTACGACGCATCATTGGAACGTTGCGGCCAATTGGTGAGGGTACCCAGCCAGCTTGCCGCATGCAGCAGGTATTGACAGGTGAAGTCCCGCCTGGTCCGTCGGCGCCAGCTAAAGCTCTTTGGCTGCATCGCACTTGGCTCACGCAGGAGCAGTATGACTCAGATCACATGGCTGAAGAGTAGGCTCGTGCTCACGATAAGACGAAACATGGTGACGATGACCGGAGTCCATCTCTTGGGCCGTGAGCAACGGCTCATTCTATAGCTCTACATGAGGATCAGCACTCTTATTCGCATTTTCTTGATCCGCACCGCCCTTCAATACGTGCGAGATGTGTCCAACGACGAGCTCACCACCAATCTTCGGGGGTGTTTGTCCACCATGTCTTTGCGAGCTTGTTTTCCCTTCGCAACTGCTTCCTGCGAGGAAAGGACCAGTCCCAGTGTCACCAGGATATCTTGATGTTTACAGTACTTACCTCGGGATGCTGCTTGATCTGGACCAAAAGGTCGTGAAGATGCTTCACAGACTTGTGTCCTCGGAACGCACCTTCCGGAGTCTACATGGACAACCAAACACATGAGCCAGTAACGCATGGTCAACATGCCTACCTCGACGAGTCCGTCAATATCCAGTGGGCACGAGTTCGGCTGCGTCATGTACACTGTTGTGCCACTCCGAAGCGTCGTAATCACAGGAAGCCCCATCGCCATGGTCTTTACAGGGGGTCGGCCCGTCCTTCACCAGCGACGGAAGAATGAGTGCATTGTTAGCCTTGTACGACGATGGCCAGGTTTTTTGTGGAATATACTGTGGTAGCACGTGAATGTTCGGCAACTCATTCAATGGCCTGTCCAGCGTCTCCGATGCAAACTTGTGAATGGTGTTCACGAAGTCTCCAGCTGGTGATGACGTTGAGCGATATCCATTCGTATGCAGCACCAAAACGACATCATCGCTAGCCGAGAACGCCTGGAGATACGCCGTAAGCGGGATCTTCCATGCCTGTCGTCCTCCCATTTAAAAATCGGCAAGTGTACTGTCGTCTTGTCCGTCATGTCCATTGTCATCTAACACGCTGGACTATACACGTTCCTGACCTGCTCCAGGTCAAAGAAGTCAACGTCCACATCTTCCAGCACCACCTTGATCGTGTCTGGATTCACTCCTCCATCAGCAAACACCTTTTCCTGGATCTAGTCGGCACCCAGATCTTGTCCATCCTGTTCATTTTGTCGGACCATCCATCCGGTACGCGATCCGTCTCAAACATGGTTCATCCGACCTTGAATTAGATTCCTTTGGGCGGACACGAGATGTCGTGTAGAACGCCAGATCCCATGCTCCCGGCTCCGAGTGGTCAATGGCTAAAGCAATTTTGTTCGGTGTCGAAGGCGTTAGCAAAAGTCCCTCTCTTCAATCTAATGCTGCTCCACTTTGCCTTCATGTTAGAAGGCAGGTCCCGAAATGAACACCAGATTTAAAGAGTCCCCGTGCTGCGCAATCAGCAGCTCATAAAGCTGCTCCAAAGTCTCTGACATCTCCAGATCGTAAGCAGCTCCTCGTTCCCCCCCTTTCCACTAGAAACCTGACCAGAATCTGAAGTTACAGCAGCAGGTTCCAACACAGCATCCCCTGTCACGACGTACGAATGCGCTTCGCTGCAAGAACCCCCACCAAGTAAGAAAGAAGCATACTACAATACAGCAAGAGCTGTGAGATCATCATCCATAGTCGCGTCTTGTCCGGAAGTTCCTGCACACACCGCTAGTAGCGCGTATAGAACAAAGAAGATGTGCGTTATTCTCAGCCACAAGGTTACAACTTTGCCAACAACGAGTCGATTTCTTGAGAAACACCAGTCAGTGTCGCATTCACACTTGATAATGCAGTGAGCCGTTAGCTATCGCTACACGATCGGAGCTGTTCATCGTCTAGTATTTGCTGTCGTCTTCTTCTTGTCTCGCTTGCGACGACATGAGTTCGCTAGCACGCATATTGCTTGGTCCACTCCATCGCTGTCTTATCAAACTCCACTTTGTTCTCGTGCATTTGCTTGGCGATCTCCGGCTCGAGCGGATTGTCCATATCCGGCTGCTCTAAGACCTGCTTGATTGCAGTGAGACAATGAAGCGCGTTGAGTGTCGGGGTCCAGTTCTACAGCACACGTCACCCAGTCAATAGATGTCAATTTCTCCATCTCTTTTTTTCACAGGCTCTTGTCCTCACCTGGCTGATAATGTCAGCACAGATTTCGCCCGACTGCGACTTGATGTTTGGATGGTACACTCGCGTGACAAAGCGTACGCGAGGGGCTTTGAATGGATATTCACTAGGGAACTGCATGTCCAAGTTGAAGACGCCACCCTCGTACGGCGAGTTCTCCTGCCAAACACAATGGAGAGCCATCATCAATCACAATGCAGTTTCGATTAAGAAGAGCCTAAAAATAGGCTCCTTGAGCAGCTTACAGGGCCAGTAAGCACGGCCTGCCAGTGCATGAGATTGTCTTCCGCAGTGCTGACCTTGCACCAATCCGGTGGATTCTGCGTCAACTCAGTGAGCTCCTATAGCACACACATACACAAACAGAATCAACAAATCAGTCCACTCATTGCTTGGAACGAGGTAAGGCGACGGTGATCCAGACAAAGACGTACTTTGGTGAGACGGCGAGCCATTGCGCACTGCAAAGTGAGACTGCGCTATTGTCAGGAGGAGGCTGTTCGGCGATGGCTACAGCCAGTCCAGGTAGAAAAAGATATAAAACCAAAGGGGTTTTGCCCATCGGATACCGGATTCCCGGGACCTGAGTCGGAATCAGGACCGGACGCCTCGCGACGCTTCACATATTGCAGCAAGTTGAACGGGTCATCAGGATCGCTTGGTTTTATTTCATCACCGGCTTCTGTAGTCTCTTTTTTCCTGGAAAGCATAGGGGAAAACGACAACGTTCGTGTCAAGAACAGAGCGAAAAGTTACAGTGTATTGGAAGCTGGACCAGTGGAGAAAGTGGTCTAGGCCCCATGGAAGAGGTACTGATTGATATGCTATGGCCATCAACAAACTGTACACGCGCGAGGCAAGTATCAGAGTTGGTGTGCAGAACTATGTTTGCTGACCCGTCACCATTATTAAACGCTCTTTATCGCACGCGCTCATGTTTACCGTTAGAGTAAGCGATCAAAGGCTTTCAAGATGACTACCAGATTCAACGAGTGTAAACACTCAGGAACGACTTTCACAGCTACGATACCGTTAGAATACAGGCACACGCGTTTACAAATTGTGAAACGCGAAGAACAATGAGTACTGACACGCCGTACGATGTTGAGCTGTATCATTGAGCACATGACCCTTTTTTACAAGGTGGCGATGCGGTCGGATGGATGGACAAGCGCGGAGCTCGCAAAGATCTGGTTCGATTGAGCTGCTACCCTTTGCATACAAAAGTGCGCGAGCAAGCGGTAACACGCTACTGCACGGTATTTCACTACTCGTGCTCCGGATATGGAGCGAGTAGACTTCGTGTGCTTCGAGAGATGAATCGTGCTTGAATCTGACAGGGCTCGTTGCGGCAATCGGCTCAAATCCTCGTTCATTTGATATCCATTCATTCATCCTTTGATGTTTTACATTCATAGTGTCAGCGTCCAGGTTACATTCGTGTGCGGTGATTGACATGAACAAGCAGTTTTGTACTCTTGCGAGCGATATACAGTCATTTGAGCGCAGATTCCATACAATTTTACCAAACTCCTGACTCTGTCATCCCTCATGGGTCCTCAGTGGTTATTTACAGCCCCGCCATCGGTCGTGATACGTGACCGCTGTATTCTTGACCGCTAAGCAAGTTCTGTTACACCTTCGACCTGCTTTCTTCGCTTTGATTTCTCCGTAGCTGTACAAACATACCTCAAAACACGCGTTTCTCCTAGCAATTGATCATCACGTGGTACTGCCACTCTCTGTACTTCTTCGACCTTGCACAAATCTCGCTTACTTGCTGAAGGTACGCAGAATGACCCGCATCTCAAGTCTTTTTTTACTCATTGCAATAGCGAATCGACCCACAGTGCAATATTTTGACCGCGCATTGACGAGATGGGGACTTTATAGGTTCCAGTCACATCATGTGCAGACTTGGCCCGAAAATTTGTCGATCGATCAGGAAGTAAATTGGGCCGACCTACAGCACGCGATTGGCATGGCTTTGTAATGGTGTGACTGATCTTTGCGACATCAAAGCGATCCAAAACTTTTTTTCGTGTCCTCCACGGAGAACTCACGAAATATGTTATTTAACGATTCAAGCATCTGTCTTTACAGACGACCGTGCCGTAAGTACATTGCGGTACAGTCATTTCTCCGACTTGTATTCTCATAACTCATAACTCAGATAACTCACACAATTGCGTCTTACCAAGCCCGATCTATGGTCACTAACTCATAACTAATAACATTTGGAAATTTATAAGAAATGAGTTAGTGACCATAGAGGGACAAAATTCATACGAGAATACTCCTGAGCAAAGGAAATCATGTTCCTGTATAAACATACACGATTTTGAGGCGACTAAGTGTCTGAGCGTACTAAACTCGTGAATACAAAATACAGGATGCTATGAGTGGTGACAGCCATATGGATGGACATCTAAACTACCACCCGCATTTACCGTGAAGTCAATAGAGATCTGTACCCGAGTAAAAAGGGAAGTGAACTGATATTGACCTGAAAGTTCTAGCTCTAAAACTTTTCTAGGAAATCAATCAACGCTGACCTTTTTTGTTTACCCATTTAATCTCTATCTGCGCAACCGTATTCTCCGAATCATGTTGTATATGGGCATGAACCCATTCTTTTCAAGATGTACAACATCTGCCTAAAAAGACTTCTCAATCCTCATACATTTGTTTTGTCGCTGTTAAAAGGGCTCAATGCGAGCAATTTTACAGCCCCGAGTTCAGGCAATGCTGCATCTATTGCTTTCTCATTTGCTGAACCTCTGTCGCCATAAATCATGATGTTGCGTAGCTTGTTCCGCTGTCGGAAGTGTTGCAGCTATCCACTGGAGAACTCGAAGGTGTATTCAGGTAGACTAAGGCGTTTAGAAACTCCTAGGCTTGGACCTCGATGATTTCTCCAGATATGTGACTATTCCTTGTTGGGCATTCATAGACACAAGATAAAGAAAGTATTCCTCCAGCTTTGGATTCTGAGCGACTCTCGAGCGTCTGGCAAAAAGTTCGTTATTGGTCATAGAATGGAGATCAGTGCGCTTCTTTAGTATGAGAGGGATAGCGTTCGGGCGATTTTGACGGCAAACTTACTGAAAGCTCAATTTGCCATATTAGTTTGGATCGAATTCGTCATGTTCGCCTTGTGCTGGCAAATCTCGAGCCTTTGTGCGTTGCTGGCAATACTCGGGACATGATTGTATAAAAATTAGTAGGGATTACCGCTAATTTACTGATTTTTCCATTTCTTTCAATTAGCAATTAAAAATTCACGTAACTCATAGCTCGGCTGATTCATAAATTTGTTCCACCAAGACTATGATTATATAATCACAAAAATGGTATGCCCTACATTGCGCTATCGCAGTGATCGCAAGTCATTAGAGCGAAGCTATTAGTGAGTGTGCAAAAGGTGAATATCTAACTTTCAGTCGTACTCATCCGTGTGTGTGCCTGCGAACAGCGCGAGGTGTACCTTAATTGATTGTCCAAGTATGATTTAGTCTAACCTTCGTATCCGTGAGGAAGCACTAGATGTAGCTTACACTTCGTACAGTACTGATTGCGATGTAGCCTGTCTTCTCTTTGCATGTGTCTACAAAAACACTAGGTGTACCTTACACGCCGTACTATGTGCGATGTAACATTTATCCCCTCTTCATCATTTTTACGCATCATTACGAGCCCGAAGGGTGAAGCAATTTGTGACTGAGCACAAGGTATGTGAATATACATGAATTAGTTCAGTTCTACGGACTGAATCCCTTGTATCTTAGGGCGAGCTCTAGAGCTTGCTCTCCTATCTTGAAGCAGACGACCAACCACCCATGGGTGGTAGGTTGCGTCCGGAGGTTCTACAAGCTGAAAATCTCCATTGTATGATGAAGAAAATGGGCCTCTAGCGGGGGACAGCTTCACTGGACCCGCATGACACATCCAGGTGGTCTGACGAACCCGCATGACACAATTTATGTGCATAACACCACGTATACCTTAGAATTCGCGCCAATAGCGATGTGGCATGTCATCTATTGTGTCCAAGGCTAATGTTAATGCTACATCACACTAAGTGCGATGTAGCATTTTTCCTTTTATGTAAGGGTCGGTATAAATACTAGGTGTACTTACACGTTGTACTGATTGCGATTTGGCATTGGTCCTACAAGGTTAGTGTCTGTAAAATGTGCTAAGTGCACCCTATACGTCGTCCTAAGTGCAACATGACATTAAAACCCTTCTCTTAGGTTCGATGAGAATTTTGAATTCATTTCTTACGTTAGGTCACTAATTGTGACTGCGAAGTGTGCAACATTCACACACGCACCACTGGCCGCACGTGATTGGATCAAAAGCTATCAAGAGCGTACAGAGGGATCACAAACAAATGCTGGGCACTAAGGGTAGGATGTCGTGGAGAAAGTCCCTGTTCATAACATTTTACTTTTAATGCACTAAAAACGTTAGATACAGGGCCTCATTTTCAAACAAACTTTTTACCAACAATCATCTATCGACAGTCTAGTAATTTGTCAAAGAACTATAGGTATGAGGTTTCGCTGCAACTACCCCACCGTCCGTCACCGACCTGTTACCATCGATCAAAACAATGAAAACTACTTAGCGCTCGGTAGGAACCACGTACTGCTATCCACACAATCAGTCCTAAAGGACCACTGTTTCCGCGAAAGGCTTTATACATGCTTTCTCTGCAATGCTATTTATTTCTATCAGATTATTTGCGAATCGCAGGTTTCCAATTTCTACCTACAGACACCTCATCTTAAGTTGTGTACCTTTCCTTAAACAGATGAAAATGAATGGGGCAAAGTCGAGGCCAAGTGCAACTACTGTTAACTTCATTCAAAATCAGGCAGAGTGCGCGGAGATTCATATTGCATGGAATGGTGCCTTATACTGCTTGTCTCTTCGCAAGCAGCATAATGATACAAAGTACCTGCTTGTGTGTTTATTGATTAGGTTTCCCTTCTTGCATTACATTACGACAATTTTAAAATATACAATACTAACAAAGTTTTTGACAGTACACATTAATTTTGGTGGACCAACAACAATCTCAAGTCAGAAGAAACGGGGGCGGGCGTTGTACGATAATTACATAAATTAGACATCGATGGGAACGCTATGTTAGCAGATATTGTTTATTATATAATATGTTATGACCATGTCGTTTTCCATATATAAAGAGTAATAGTTCTTTATTTGTTTAAACTTAAAACTCTCCATCCATATTTTTTTAGAATGTTTTCTAATTTTATTGATTATCGTTTACAATTTAAAGGTCGTTTTGATAAAACAAAACGAAAAAAATACTCTGCTTATTGGCTGATAAAGGCCATGAAGTCAGCTATAAATTTCGGGCCACGCCAGACGTGCAGAATGAGTTTTAGTCAGATAGTTACAATAAAATTTTACATAGACATAA